CCAAAAAATGTATAAACAATGATGTTATACAGCTCTGTGTCAATGTTTGATAAAAATTCACCTAATCACTATACTCATGAAGATATTTTCTTAATATACTGAAATTAAACTAAAGATCTCAAGTCAGAAAAGCTTTTTTAAATCACTAATAAAAGTCTTCCTTTAAAATGGATTTTAAATATAAAAATCTCATTTTTAGAAATTTCATGGGCCTCCTTTTCAAAAAGAATGTTATTATATTGAATCAAATATAATTAAAAGTTGGTTCAATGTAAAGAACCATCTCACCCTAGAGCCAGAGTAGCCATGGGAACTCCTCTTCATTTATTGTTCTTTTCATGGCTTTCAGCAGGCAATATCGAACATTTCAATGTCCCTTTTTCTATTGATCAAAGTCACCAATTTTCACTTATCAATATGTAATAGCTCATCCACACTAATCTTTGGTGTCAAAATCTGAACATAGTTCCTGAGAGATAATATAGCTGGATTTGTATCCAGTTACAATATAAGTAAGCTATTAATATTAAGTGCACATCAATTTACTGGTTCACTCTGGATTTGTTCTAGGCAACAGTTTTTCCTAGAGATACTGGAATCTATTCAACTAATCCATTCATTCCCAAGAAAATTAAAGAAACAATAATTTTGATCAGATAATACTGAGGTAGTCTCATATAACTTAAAAATTCATGCTTCAGAAGTAGAGATGATGTTATAACACATATATTAATTGCAATAGACTTAAATAGTGAACAACATGGGACATCTTCATTGACCAAACTTTGAGATTTACTGCCCTCAGCAGAGAAAAACTAGTTACTAGAACTGGATATGACATTCAGCTCAAATATGTAGAAGAGATACATGAAAAAGATACAAATATCAGTTATCCATTTCCTCACAGATACAAGAGATAAGACTTAATATAAAAGGCCGGGCGCGGTGGCTCACGCCTGTAATCCTAGCACTCTGGGAGGCTGAGGCAGGCGGATCATTTGAGCTCAGGAGTTCGAGACCAGTCTGAGCAAGAGCGAGACCCTGTCTCTACTAAAAAACATAAAGAAATTACTTGGACAGCTAAAAATATATAGAAAAAATTAGCCGGGCATGGTGACGCATGCCTGTAGTCCCAGCTACTCGGGAGGCTGAGGCAGTAAGGATGGCTTGAGTCCAGGAGTTTGAGGTTGCTGTGCTAGGCTGACGCCATGGCACTCTAGCCCAGGCAACAGAGTGAGACTCTGTCTCACTAAAAAAAAAAAAAAAAGACAATATAAACAATTAAAGCCTTTGAACATAATGGTAAATGTAAGAAATACTAGTTAAAATACTAAATAACAAATGTTAATCCAAGGAATGCTGGGGATTCCACCTTAAAATCATGCCAACAAACTGTCCAGAGAGATGTTAAAATAATTGACAGAAAAGGGTTAAACTACTGATTTCAAAAGGTTGATCCGGTCACCCAGAATCTATTTGTTCAGTATTTTCTTTCTACCTCTGTAGAAAGTAGTGTGGGAGATCATTTTAGCTGTACAAGATCAAGACCTTAAATAACACTAAAGTTACTTCCTTTTAAATTATCTTTTACCTTTTCTATTTCAAGGAAAAAGTCTCAGTTGGCTGCTGGTATGTCTTTTTCACTTCTTTATCACTTACTAATGGCTGGTTTCAGACCCTCAGCAGATACCAGCATCTAGCTACAAAGTAGTGACATTTTTTATTGTGTTTATTTTTATGGCAAGCTTGTATATACACATAGCAAGTGATAGAGTATAGGTTCCCTTATGATTAATTTTAGTTAATATTTTCAAAACCCTGAAAAAAACACAAAGAAATGGAATACTTCTCTAGCCTTTCCTAATCACAGGCAACTTCATGCCTGTCATCATACCCAGACCACCAAACTTTTTTTCTCCAAAAGCAATAAATAAGCAATTGCTTAAGGCCTAGTATAAACTGCTATAGTTAAAATGTCTCTGTAGTTTCTGCTCAATAAAATAAAGAAAACGAAGTATAGTATTTTACTTTGAGAAGATTTGAGGGAACAAACAGTAATAGGCTTCCTAACAAAACTACTTTTGTGCTGCCAAAAAGGAGTCTTCCTGGTACTATAACCTCTTGAAAACCTATACTAGTTTCCTTCCCCATACCCACCCTTGCAATACTTGCTTACACAGCAGTTGTCTACTAGACTGTGGGCAACTTGTGGGCACAACCCCTGCCTTTTTCAGCTTTTTGATTCTGGAGCTAAGTGGTCCCCTGTTGATACTCAGTTTGTGTTTACTGGATGAATGACCTGTGTCTGGAGTTGGTCCTATACTTATTTCTTCTTTTTCTTAAAAGACATATGGATTTAAAATTAAGTCATCAGTAGCAGCTGTCCTTTGATGCAAGTCCTACATATTTATTTATGGATCTAGAGTACCTACGAAAATTCTTCATAAATCCTGAATCTGAAAGACATAGATAGGCCTTAAGTGCTAAAATAATGAAAATGCCAATAGCTTTGCATCTATTCTTTCCAAAGAGACATTTTATACATTAGGATACATAGTTAAATGCAATGTGTTTTTCTTTTTAAAACCACATTTTATATGGGGAAAAATTCTCTGATTCCACTGTTGAAATATGGATACATTACAGATATACTACTTCTGGAGAAACAATGCTGTACAAAATTTAAGTTCATGACATGAATATGGCAAAAAACAAAAAAAAATTAAACTCTGACAAAGGACATAGTTTTAATAACACAAAAACTTGAAACATCAAAGAAGGCAATCCAAGATCAAAATGTCTTTCTCAATGTTGACTTTTCCAGCTCTCTATATACATACACTCATTAAGAATTTCAACATTCCTTATTCTTCAATTTTATAACCTAGGAGAACTTCATTAAGTAGATGTCAGCTTGCTAGGGCTGACCAAATATAAAGTTACCAAGGTGAATCACAAAATAGATATGCTTAAATCTATTCGTTACTTATCTACTTTTCACTAACAAGACCAATGAAGAATCCTAATGATCCGCTCTTAAAAGGCACTAGAAGAATATAAAGATTCTATAAGGAAGGTAGGGTATTAAGTCAAAATCTTACAGGTGAGGAAAGTCTCCTCATTTGCCTGGCTACTATCTTCAGCTAACATTTAAAAGCCAAACTTGGGTCCTTCTCAATCACTTCTCTAAATTTTCCAAGGGCATCAGTTCAGATTGGTTCATGACTTCCTTCAAGATTACTTTCCCAGTAACATAGTTTCCCATCGACGAACTAGTTCTAATATTTTTCAATTGAATAAATGCCATAATGGTTATGTTCCCAAAATCTTCTTACAATCCATAATGTAGCTCAACCAAGTAAGAAAAGAGGATGTCAAGAATGACAGAGTGAAGGGGACAAACAGGCATCAGCCTCTCTCCCCTTCTAGGCAGCAAAAGTTAGGTATTCTTATCTGTCTTTCCCCACCACAAGGCCGGATCTGATTTTAAGACAATAGGAAGGTAAAAGATGGACTTCTGGAGCAGCACCTAAGGCAGTGTGGGGTGAGAATTCAATGGTGTTGCCATTGCTTAATAGCACTTGGGAGTGCTATTAAGTAAGGTACGGTATGTATGTTGCCAGAGGGGTGGAGGAATAGGATGGAAAGGGAGGGAGGGAGAGGTGGTAGTGCTGGTGCTGGTGATTATACTAAAGGCAATTGGTATAACAGCTATGTTAGCCAAAAAATGGGGGCAGAGTGGATTTCTGCACGCTAAAAGAACAAAAAAACCAAGAAAAGTCAGAGAATATTTGCGCTTGGCTTTTTACATACCCGTGTTTTTCCTGTTTCTGCATGCTCAAATGATACTCAATTTTAGGTTAAAAGCTTCCAATCAAGTGGGCCTACTAACTTTGAACATCTACAGCATGGCATCATCATATTGTGCCATGTATGTTCAACAACAAGAAATATTCTTGCAACCTTAACAGACAGCAGTTAGCTTCAAATAATACATTTTCTTTTGACTGTGGTTACTGCTCATCTATTTCGAATTCTGAAATTGGGGATTATTATCTGAGAGTCTTTACAAAGGCCTCCCCTCTAGGCTGCTTCAAAGTAAACGACAAATAGGAAGAAAGTGTACACTGAAAACCACGTGTTTCCCATTAAGAAGTACATTACCAACCCATTTCCCGAAAGTTCACTTTCAATGTGACCATAACAATGTAAATATTTCTAAATACCCGATTTGATGCCGATGTATTTACTTTCCTAACTCTTTTTAACAGAGCTGGCATTTTTCGCCCCCCCCCCCCGACCAACAAGTGAAAGTAATCTCCCCTTAATGTTAATTTACGGAGTATGGGGTACCAAAAAAAAACAACAACAAAACCACAAAACAAACACAAAAAAATAAACAGGGCTCTAAAACACTAAGCCCAAAGGTGGGTTCTGATGTCAACAAAATGGACTGGAGTAGGCAAAGCACTGCATGCCACGGGCCTGCAGGTGGGGGAGTGGTGAGTCTAGATTTCAGGGCATTTGGGAACAATCCCCTCCCACCTTGCCGCCCTGGGTGGGTGGGTGATGGGCAGGCAGGTCGTGCGGCAGCGCTGGGTCTCCGCCCGCAGCCAGGGGAGTTGGGAGCAGGCCTCGGGCGGTAGCTCCTCAAACTCTGACCGCATCCCACCTCCACCCTGGCCTTAGTCCTGGGGCTGAGCGCCGATCCCCAGACCGAAAACTGCAACTCCCCAGGCATCGCACGTCTCTCAAAGGCTCCCCATCATCCTGCATTTTCTTCCAAAACCACCCCAAGCTTCACCCAAGACCCCAGGTTAGGGGTTCCTGACCTCCCGCCATTTCTCCACGTCGCCGCAGCTCGGAGCAAGAGAAGAAAACCTCAAGGTGACACCTCATTTTGGCCGGTGGGTCCCGGTTCTGGGCCCGAGTTGTTGGGCAGTAGAAGGCAGAAGCCCCAGCTCCCAGCCCCACTCCCCGTCAGGGCACCGTCGCCTCACCTGGCAGCGGCACACGATATCGGCGTCCTGCGCCAGCAGATCCACCACCTTCCCTTTGCCTTCGTCGCCCCACTGCGCGCCGAGCACCACCGTCACCCGGTTTCCTCCGGGCCGCGCCCTAGGGCGGCCGTAGTCGCCGTTGGGCAGGGAGGATGCCGCCGGGTTGGTCTCGTCGAACGACATGGCTCCAGTGACGCTAGGAGAACCTGAAGGAGACACCGTCGGCGAAGAGTGCGCGAACTGAACCGCTCTGCGGCCGCCAGCCACATGCGGAGGAAGAAGGAGCCAGAGGCCGGCCCCGCCCCCGTCCCCGCCGGGCCGCCACCCTCCAGCCCGGCCCCGCCCTGCTAGTCGCACAGCCCACTCAAGGGGGGACCATGACTGCCCCGCGCAGGCCGGCCTCTGCAGCACCGCTCGCAGGAGGAAGCCTTGGTGGCTGCAACCGCCGCCACCCTAGACCGAGGCCACGCCCCTTCCGCGGCGAGGCGCGCCACTCTTGTACGAACTTAGAGAGCGGAAAAGGGCAGGGGCGGGGCTTTGAGCGCGCTTGGCCCTCAACGTCCCGCCTACTCGGTCTTCCTCCAGCTTTCAAACTGGAGGGCGCGGAGCTGCGTGCCGAGCGTCGGACTACAACTCCCGGCATGCAACGCCTCGGCTGTGGGGACGTATTCTCGTGCTACTGAGGCGGCCATCTGCAGGTTTGACTCTTAAGCGTTCGTTTTGTAAAATTTTTTTAAGATTTATTTTTATTGAGGAATGAGATAGCGTGTCCAAAATACAAAGTGTGGAATTTGAAAATACAAACAGGTTGGAATTTGAACGTATAAGTTTAGAATTGGAAATTAAAGATCTAGAAGTAGTAGATATAGGAACAGGGATCAAAAAAGACAAACTCAAAAGGACGGCAATAAGGTACAGGACGTTAGACCTGAAAAACTATAGCTCAAGTAGAATCTTAACCCTTCTCATTTAAATATTTACACAAAGGCTTAGAGAGGAGCGAATTACCTATGTCATATAGTACATATATGCGGATACAGTAATGCACTTGGGTTTTTAATCCCCACACCGTATGAGGTAGGTGATCCTGTCTTGTCTTTATTTTACAGGATTTAAGATCGAGGTAACTTGCTCTAGGGAGGCTTGAATCAGTACCTAGACAGCCTGAGTCCAGAGCCCATGCCCTTCCGGTATGTTCCACTCCTCTTAGTGTTTCAACTGTGGCTAGACTATGGAGTACACCTACTGTTGATGTAGTGCTCTTCCGACCGCAATACAGATTACTATAACTGTGACGTCTAATTGTAATAAAAGTTGCTTCGGAAAAAAGTGGGAATAGAATCACATTATATGTGTCTCCCAAATCGTATATACTGTTATGTTCCCTAATGGTCCCTGGAGCGCATTTTAGTATTTTATTATTTCTATTCAATGTGTTACATAAGTAAACATCTGAGAATTCACTATAACCTAAGGCTGTACTGGGACTGATAACATAGGAGGAATAAAGATACAATTGCAGCCTACAAGGATTCCAATTATTTGGTCTATCAATAAGTAAGTAAATTATAATGCTATATAACTGGTGTTTGTTTATCTTGACTTTATCACAAACCATTTGTAAGCAAGAATGCGGTCATATTTTATACTCTAGTGCCCAAGGTAGTGTTGGGCAGATAGTAGATAAACTCAATAAGCACACGTTCCTATTCATTTCTGTTCAATTCTTAAAAAATCATTTATGGCGTGCCTGCTCCCGGGAAAGCACTTCCAGACAACGTTATTTGCTATTGCAATGTCTACACACAGTCATACGAAGATTGGGGCTAAAAGATAAACCTAAAAGCATCACCTTTATTCAGGCAGCTCAGATTTTTCGAAGGGTTTTTGCTATGTCACTCGAGGAAAGCACGGTTTGTTCTGCCGTTCCTAAAATCTGTTTTATATTTTCACACTCCAGCTTCTAACTTTCAGGCCCCTGGGGGAGCCCAGCGCGCGCGCGCACGCACTCCCTCACACACGAGCACCCGCACGCGCGCACACACTCCCTCACACACACAAGCGCGCGCGCACAGTTTCCTCGCCCGCGCTCAGGCCGACCCCGCCCAGCAGCCCCGGGGCCTAAGCGCCTGCGGGCCGACGCCCTGCGGAGCGCGCGAGTCACCGGCGGGCGCGGCGGAGGCTGTTGGGCGGAAGCGGAGCCGGCGCCATGTCTGTCCCGGGAGTGGGGGTGCTCCTTTCGTGGCTGAGCTGCTGCAGCTTGGCGCTGTGGAGGTAGAGACACCAGTCGCGGGCAGGGGTCGCCTCTGGAGCCGGGCAGGCAGGGCCCTATTCCCGCCTCCCCACCGCCAGCGTCCTGGGGCCACTGGCCCTCGCCGAGCACCGCCTCGTCTCCTCCGCTCCCCAAACACCAGCACCAGCGTCCCGCTCCTCCCACCCGAGTTTTCCATGAAAATGAAAACTGAGGGCGGAAAATGAGGGGATGCTGTTAGCCCTTTGCTACTCTGTTGAGTTCCCGCAGTAGGGTCGTGGTGCCCTCACACTGCTGTCCTCTGAACGACTGAGCCCCTCTGAATTCTTAAACTCATTTCGCCTTACTGCACCCTTGCTTCTGCCAAAGAGAGGAGCAAATGAAAACCAAAAGGTCGTCACTAGAGATTGGCACGGAGGAGGCACTTTTCTGGGATAGCTAGGTCCTTGGTGGTTTCTGTTAGGTAATTGAAGTTGAGTGATTTGTGAGAAAGTGCTTTGTAAAATGTAAACACTGCACAAGTGTGAGGAAATATAATTCCTGTATAAAGTGAGTTGATCTGGGGAATGAAAACGTTTAAAATTCTGAGAGAGAAAGTTCTGAGAGTCAATGCAAGTTTGATTTTTGTTCAGTATTTGATAACTGCTGCACTGGAAGGTGTATCAAAATATTTTAGATTTTCCACGTAAGTTAAAACACAGATGGTTAACCAGAAAATCACATTCCACGAATATTCTGTTTTTGCTATAAGAAATAATGATTACTCTCTAACATTTCTTCTCTATGAAATGGAAATAATAAAATCTGTCTACTGGGGTGGTTGTGAGGCTTAAATGCTATGATATAGATACACGAGAATGTATCTTTTCTGTTTTGTCTTCATGTATTCCCATTCTACCACGTCCTCAATATTTAAGAGCATTCTTGACCTTTACCCCTTCCTTCATTTCCCAACAGATAAGTCCCTGTTTGACTTCACTTTCCTCTCTCTACCCAGCGTATGTTAATAGAATACGTTCTTTGGGTAAACCGTTTTCTCTCAAATCCCTTACCTACTTATCCTCCTATACCTATCCAGCAGTTGGTCTTGGATACGTCATACTCTAAGGCATCTGACATAAGCTGATAATTATTTTATACAGATTAAATGTTGAATAAAATACATTATTAAAGTTAATTTCATTTCACCTGTTTATTCTCACACTTTTGGTGCCTACTAGAAAATTTGTAATTACATAGGTCGCTTGTATTATATTTCTGTTGGATAGTGAGTGCTACTTTAGATGGATCATATAGACAGAAATTAAAGTACGTTGGATAATTGTACAAAAGTGGTGATGAACAAGGACTGACAGAAATTTGCTCTTTATTTCAGTGTTTAAGAAATACTGGTTTTCGAAATTCCAGTCTTCATTATTCTTATTTTAACTCAGTTTGTAAGTGAAGGAGTTAGAGCCAGTATTCTTCAACTGTTTTCAGCATACCAAAACAAGAGTAAAAAGATGAGTATTTACTTCTCATCTCATTTTCTTGTCTTCAGATACTGAGCAAACCCTAACACACCTAGAAAGATGGATAGAGGTCACTGATAAACCAAATTTTAGCCCTGAGTTTACTTTCCAGGAAGGGACTTAGGCAGAAAGGTAAAGCTCTTAGGAGCCCAGGTATGCCCTGACCATTAATAGAATCTCTCATATTTGGAGAAGAAATTAGTTTTAACATTCATATTTGTCTTTTTCCTCCACAGGTATTACAGTAACAGCCCAAATTATAACATTTTTAGTACTAGAAGTACAGTAAGTATTGAATTTTTTTGAAAACCATAGTTAAATATTAAATTTTTTGAACCTGAGAGCAGAGTTCATCATACTCAGTTTTACAGCTCAGTGTCATTATTTCTATTTCATTTCCTTCACCACATTCATCATCCTAATATATTAATAGTTCCCCTCTTCAACACATGTCCCTAAATATGTGTGTACCAAAAAGAGTGTTGTTTTGAGTGTTTTTGTGATTTATTAATATTCACAAAATAGTGTTATAGATAGAATTACCATATATATTGTCTAAACTATTGAGAATGTGGGTGCTATTAATAATTATACACCAGGTATAAATTGGAACTATCTAGACTTGTGGTCCCCAACTCTCTGGCCTTGGACCAGTACTGGTCCATGGCCTGTTAGGAACCTGGCTGCACAGCAGGAGGTTAGCAGCGGGCCAGCAAGCTCAGCTTCATCTGTACTTAGAGCCTTCCCCATCAGTCGCCTTACCGCATAAGCTCTGCCTTCTGTCAGATCAGCCATGGCATTAGATCCTCATAGGAGCGTGAACCCTACTGTAAACTGCACATGGGAGGGATCTAGGTTGCATGCTCCTTGTGAGTATCTAATGCCTGACGATCTGAGTTGGAGTTGAGGTGATGACGCTAGCACTGGGGAGCGGCTGCAAATACAGGTTATCATTAGCAGAGAGGTTTGACTGCACAATAAATGCAATGTGCTTGAATCATCCTGAAACCATCCCCCACCCCGATCCTTGGAAAAATTGTCTTCCATGAAACTGGTCCCTGGTGCCAAAAAAGTTGGAGACCACTGATCTAGACAATTGAGGATGTATTGTCACTCAAACTATAGACCCAAAAGGCAACAGTGTAAGATGATAGAACCAATGGTATTGCAGCTTGCTTGAAAACCATATTAAGAAAGAAATATTGAATGTACAGAAGACCCTTTAGGGATTAAACTTCCCAGGATTCTTCTTCATGGAAAGCATTAAAAAAAATTCGTCTCCACTCTACATGAATTGAAATGGTACGTCAGTTTTCTGTTTAAATACCCCCAAATCACTTAAAACGCTGTAAGTTGGTAAGTATAGTGGAAACATTCTGTAGGTACTTAACTACATTGAAGCTCATCATTATATAGGTTTATACATAAGCTTAGTAATTTCCATAGAACTTATTCTCTGTTTTGAACTTACATTTTTAAAACATTTTATTATGGAAACATTTAAATATATTCAGAAGTATAGAAATTAGTATAATTTAGACATACACAACAGTATAGAGATTAATATGTCCCTGTGCACCCATCACCCAGCTTCAGTATTACCAACTCATGGCCATTCTTTCTCTCCTCTTGTATTATTCTGAAACTATCCCAGACATATTCTTTCATCCATAAATACTTTAGTGTGTATCTTTAAATGATAAGACCTTTTTTAAAAAAAAAATGACCACAGCCATGGCAATTAGGCAAGAAAATGAATTAAAAGGCATCCACTTTGGAAAGGAAAAGATAAACTACCTCTATGTGCAGATGACATAATCTTTTATATAGAAAGCCCAAGGAATCCATTACAAAACTATTAGAACTAATAAATGAGTTTAACAGTTTCATATGGAAGTTCATAGAGAATTTCATATGAAAATTTAAGAGTACCAGAATAGACAAACAGTCTTGAAACAGAAAAAGTTGTAGGACTCACGGTTTCTGATTTCAAAGCTTACTTCAAAGCTGCAGTAATTGAGATAGTATGGTACTGACATAAGGGTAGGATTATAGATCAGTGAAATAGAATTGAGGATCCAGAAATAAAACCTCATGTTTACGGTCAACTGATTTTTGACAAAAACGCCAAGAAAATTTCAATGGGAAACAGTCTTTTCAATAAATGGTGCTGAAACAACTAGATATCCACATGAAAAAGAATGAAGGTGGACCCCTACCTCAGACCACATTAAAAAATTAACTCAAAATGGATCAAAGATCTAAATATAAGAGCTAAAACTATAAAACTCATAGAAGAATATATAGGGAAAAATATTTGTGGCCTTGGATTAGGCAATGGTTTCTCAGATATAACACCAAAAGCAAAAGAAATAGATAAATTGGACATCATTCAAATTAAAATCTTTCGTGTTTCTAAGGACATCATCAAGAAAGTGGAAAAAAATTTTAGAAATCATACATCTGGTAAAGAACTTGTATTTAGAATATATAAACAACTATTATAATTTAGTAATAAAAAGACAAACAATCCATTTTTAAGATAGGCAAAAGATCTGAGTAGACATTTCTCCAAAGAAGATATTCAAATGGCCAATACATAAACTCTTCATCAGGGAAATGGAAATCAAGACCATAATGAGATCCGGTTCACACACTCTCAGATGGCTATAATCAAAAAGACGGCTGATAGCAAGTGCTAGGATGTGGAAAAATTGCAACACTTAGATTGCTGTCAAATGTCAAATGGTACAGCCACTTTGAAAACAGTCTTGGTAGTTCTTCAAACAGTTAAACATAATTTACCAATATGGTCCACAAATTTTACTTCTAGGTATATATCCAAGAGAAATGAAAACATGCCCACACAAAAACTCACACATGAATGTTCATAGAAGCATTATTCATAATAGCCCCAAAGTGGAAACGACTGAAATGTCTATCAGTGGACAAATAAAATGTAGTATATTCATATAATGGAATATTATTTGTCAGTAGAAATGAAGTACTGATACATGCTACATACTACAACATCAATAAAAACATTATACTAAGTGCAAGAAGACTTTCCCAAAGAACCATATATTGTATGATTTCATTCATATGAAATGTCCGGAGGGAAATGCTTGTATGGAGACAAAAAAGTTAGTAGATGCCTAGAGCTGGGAAGTGGGAGTTAAGTGGTGACTTCCAAATAGTGTGGGGGTTTTTTGTGAAATATTGAAAATATTCTAAAATTGATTGTGGCAATGGTTGCAGAACTATATGAAGATACTAAAAACCATTGAATTGTACACTTTAAATTGGTGAATTGTATGGTATGTGAGTTATATTTCAATAAAGTTGTTTTAGAAAAACCATAACTATAATACTAATTAGCACACCTAAAGATTAATAATAATTCCTTAATATCATCAAATATCTAATCAGTATTCAAATTACCAGTGTTCTTATAAATGTCATTTTTTGTTTGTTTATGTAAATTGGGATCCAGATAAAGTTTATTTATTATGATTATATATTTCTTTAGTTCTTTCTGTGAAAGGTAGGTTTATTGAATTATTTACATACAATAAAATTTACTCTGTTAAAGCACATAGTTTGATGAGTTTTGACAATGCATATTGTGGCATAATCACTACAATAATGAAGATATAGAATATATCACTCCAAAAAGTTCCATCATGCGCTTTGCAGTCATGCCGTACCCTCCTTGCCCTCAACTGTTGGCATCCACTAATCTGTTTCCTGTTCCTATAGTTTTGCATTTACTGAATAGTCATGTAAATGAAATCATACAGTGTGTAGCTTTTTTGAAAACTTTCTTTCACTTGCTTAGTGCTTTCAGATTGATCCATAATGTTGCATATGTAAGAACTTTATTCCTTTTTATTGCTGAGTAGTATTCTTTCACATTCACATATCACAATTAGTACATTCACTTACTGATGGGCATTTGGATTATTTCCAGTTTGAAGCTATGTCAAATAAAACTGCAAATATTCATGTACGTACGTGGGGACATATGTTTTTATTTCTCTTGGTTAAATACCTAGGAATGGGATTACTGTGTTAGAAGGTAAGGACATGTATTTACATCAAATGAGAAACTACAGAATATTTTCTGAAATAACTGTGCCAAATGGTACATTACCACGAGGAACATAAGAGAGGTCCCATTGTTTTACATCTTTAATACATTTGGTTTGAATTCTATTTTATCTAATACCAGGCTTACAATCCCTGCTTGTATATTGATTCCTTTTAACAGGACCATTTGCCTCTTGTACCTTCGCCCATTACTTTATATTTTTTAAATTTTTTTTTTTTTTTTTTTGAGACAGAGTCTCACTGTGTTGCCCGGGCTAGAGTGCCGTGGCGTCAGCCTAGCTCACAGCAACCTCAAACTCCTGGGCTCAAGCAATCCTCCTGCCTCAGCCTCCCAAGTAGCTGGGACTACAGGCATGCGCCACCATACCCGGCTAATTTTTTCTATATATTTTTAGTTGTCCAATTAATTTCTTTCTAATTTTAGTAGAGACGGGGTCTCGCTCTTGCTCAGGCTGGTTTCGAACTCCTGAGCTCAAACAATCCACCCACCTCGGCCTCCCAGAGAGCTCGGATTACAGGCGTGAGCCACCGCGCCCGGCCTTTTTAAAATTTTTTTATAGTTAATAGACTTTATTTTTTAGAGCAGTTTTAAATTTACATAAAAATGGGTAGACCGTATAGAGAGCTCCCATAAAACCTCCCCAGTTTCCCCTATTATTAACATCTTGCATTAGTGTGTTACATTTGTTACAGTTGATAAGCCAATATTAATACATCATTATTAACTAAACTCCAGTAGTTTACATTAGGGTTCACTCTTTGTGTTGTACATTCTATGTGTTTGGACAGATGTTTAATCACATGTTTCCACCATTACAGTATCATATAGGATAGTCTCACTGCCCAAAAAATCCTTTGCTCTGCCCTTTCAACCCTCCCTTCCCCCAGCCCCTGGCAACCACTGATCCCCTGGAAACCACTGATCTTTTTATTAAATACTTTCTCCATAGTTTTGCCTTTTCCAGAATGTCATATAGTTGGAATCATACCATATGTAGCCTTTTCAAATTGGCTTTTTTCACTTAGCATTTAAGGATCCTCCGTATGCATATTGATATGGCTTGATAGCTCATTTCATTTTAGTGCTGAGCAATATTCCATTGTCTGGATGTGCCACAGTTAATTTATCCATTCACATAGTGAAAGACAGCTTGGTTGCTTCCAAGTTTTGGCAATTATGGATAAAGCTTCTGTAACCATTCAGGTGCAGGTTTTTGTGTAGACATAAGTTTTCAACTCATTTGGGAAAATACCAAGGAGCAAAATTACTAGATTATATGGCAAGAGTATGTGTTGTTGGAAACTGCCAAACTTTCAAAGTGTCTGTACCATTTTGCATTCCCATCAGCAATGAATGAGAGTTGCTGTTGCTCCATATCCTGTGTTTTCAATGTATCATTTGATTTCCACGTATTCCCTGGGCAACAATATCCAATCCAATATAGTTTGGATATTCCTCCTGTACCCAAAAAACCTCATGTTAATATTTGATCCCCAATGTTAGAAGTGGGGGCCTAATGGGAGATGTTTGGGTCATGGGGGCAGGTCCCTAAATTCTTGCTATTAAAAATGTTTTTTTGGCAGGAAATAAAATCGTTGGATCATACTTTATTTTCTTGAATTTATTTTTAAAAGATACTTCCTTATTACTTTGCTTTATATGTTGCTTTTGAGAAGTCTGATACTATTGTATCTTATTTGATCTTTTGTTGGGAGGCCTAAAGATTTTCCTTTATCTTTAAAGTCTAACATATTATAGATTATTTTTGAAGTAAAATAAAATTAAAGGCTTATAGTTTTTTGAAAGACTACTGAAGTATCCTAGAAGGGTTAATTTACTTTTTGTTTGTCATATTACTTTGTACAATTTCAAAGGAATTGAATTTTAGTGATTCTTTTTTTTGAATAATAAGGACTCAGAATATTGAACCCTACAACTGAACACTGAGGAGAAAATTTTGAAGCATATTTTTTGTTTGAACTCTTACTTTCTTTTTTAGATTAAGTTAGAGTATGAAGGAACATCATTTTCTGAGTGGAGTGTGCCAGAAACTTGTTCTATGCAAGATAAAAGGTAAGATTTTTGCCATGAATATCAATGTATGTGTATATTTACAAGCAGAAGAGCATTCACATAGTGTGGACATTTAGATTCAAGGCTGTGATTTGATATAAATTTCCTTCCATTAAATAGATATGAAAAGAAAGACAAAAATCACTTTGAACTAGGATTAGAAGTAAAATATTGTTATATTTAAAAATTTCTCTTATCAGCATATAATGGAAATTTTTAGGCTTAAAAAATAGAATGGTGGAAAGCAATATGGAGATACCTCAAAGAGATATAAGTAGATCTACCATTTGATCCAGCAATCCCATTACTGGGCATCTACCCAAAAGAACAAAAGACATTCTATAAAAAAGACATCTGCACTCGAATGTTTATAGCAGCACAATTCACAATTGCAAAGATGTGGAAACAACCCAAGTGCCCATCAATATGTGAGTGGATTAATAAAATGTGGTATATGTATACCATGGAGTACTATTCAGCCACAAAAAACAATGGTGATCTAGCACCTCTTGTATTATCCTGGATAGAGCTGGAACCCATTCTACTAAGTGAAGTATCCCAAGAATGGAAAAATAAGCACCACATGTACTCACCATCAAATTGGTTTTAACTGATCAACACCTAAGTGCACATATAAGAATACCATTCATCTGGTGTCAGGCAGATGGGAGGGGAGAGGAGGGGATGAGTATATACATACATAATGAGTGTGATGCACACTGTCTGGGGGATGGACAAGCTTGAAGCTCTGACTCAGGGAGGAGCAGGGTGGTGGGGGGCAAGGGCAATATACGTAACCTAAACATTTGTACCCCCATAATATGCTGAAATGAAAAAAAATAGAAGGTAAATTTCTATTAATCTCATATGCATCTGTAGTTATTTCTTCTTCCCCATTTTTTTTAAACACTAGATCACCCACAACAGAATTGCGTTGTTCTTCTCCTGGTATTCAGGCTATAAAACCAATTGTTGCGGGCCCAGTAAGTTGATTTTAATGATAAGTTATTAATTCTTGAATAGTCATCTCTGTTACATTTTATTTTGCCATTCTTTTGAGCTTTTCAACCTAACTTAACCTGCTTTAAGATAGTATTAATTGTAACTATAAACAAGAACTATTTTTGAATTACTGTCGGTATGTCAATTTTTAGATATATCTCATGTCAATTATAAATTATGAAATGGTATACAATTTTTACCTTAGCCTTTTTATTAATAAGTATGGTAAAAAAGTCCATAGCCACCGCCTTATTGATAATAGTACTCTCAGGTGAATGGGTCTTATATCATACACTCCTATGCCAGTACCCAGGATCAAGAGCAATTTCTAGCAGATTTGTTTTTATTCCACTGCATTTTCTTCAGTTCTAGAAAACATGTGAATGCAAGTGAACTACAGTGATGTTGAATCTTCTCTAGTTTACCAAAAAAAAGAAGAGCCAAAAACCCAAAACCAAAGTAAAGCATTTTTAAGACATTGGCACTTTAATAATTAGTAACAAAGTACTGGCCACATACCTCACAGCTGATGTTCCCACACAAGTGTGTCTGAAGCTACTGCTAAAGAGACTCCATGTGACAAATCCTTCCTTTACTTAGGGCTTTTGCCTTCTTTTTAATTAAAAAACTTTATTTTCAAGGCACAAGTAGACAGAGTGATGTGGCAGAGGCTGGATGAATATTAATTCATTTTTTAATCCCTCTAGAGTAACAAGTATTTGAATTTGTCTTTTTGAGTCTATTAGCATTTATCAGTTTCAAGAGCACAACTCATGAGGAAGTAGAGGACTCCTTTCCTTTTTATTTATATTAGAAGCTCATGTAAATGTGTAATGTTATGTAAAAAATACACATACATGCATATATGTAGGAATATTTTTGTCATTTATGTACAGTGTCATCAGATCCTACAACCAGCTGAGGAGATACATCTGACTTTTAAAATATACTCAAAAGCACTCAGTTGTAACAACCAAAAGCATCTCCAAGCACTGTCACAGTCCTGGAGCAAAATTACCCAAGTTGAGAACCAATGAATGAGAAAATGAATTGAATTGTATTTCAGTGAGGAAGACAAATACAATAGAAACAAGGATAGCAAGCCATCAAAATGTCTTCTAAATTTGTCGCTCATAGTAAATTCTTAATTACAGAGAGTAGCTAAAGAATTGAACTAGTTATTATATGTATATTTTAAAATTGTATTCTGAAATTTATTTATTCTTCTTCCTCTAATATTAGATAAGTAACTTAGTTCCTCTGTGACTTTTATGCCTATATCCACATTTGTATTTACTTTAAAGTTAATATATGATAATTCTTTTGCATTTTCTTTTAGGATGAAGAAGAACGCTATTTATACGTGGACAGTTCTCATACTTGCTTTATGTGGCATTATAGAACTATGTAAGTAAAGCAGTGTTGAATATAAAGGTAATTAATGCTTTTAAAGAGTATTTAGCTTCAACTTTTAATTAACCACAAATGGATTATCTATATTATGCTTTCCATACAAACTTTCATTCACCAACCAAGATATTCCCAAATATATTGCCAAAGAAATAACTGAAGAATAAACAGTAAAAATAACAGCAGCAATCATTATTTGAATAAATACTTTGTCTACATGTTCGTATTTTGGAGCTCTAGTGGTACAATTGGTTAGCGGTACTTATATGTGTTCATATTTTTATATACATTATCTTTCTCAATTTTCATAATATCCATGTAAGTGTAATTCTTTATAGATGAGAAAACATGAGCTTGGATGTTAAATAATTTTGAGAAAAATACAAAGTTACTAAAAGACAGTATTTGGATTTGACTCTTGTTTTTCACACTACAAGGCTCTTGTGTTTCTATTCTAAACATTCCAAAAACACTCTCATTGTATTAGATAGCTCTTTAAACCCATTTTAACATGAGAGTGAATGAATATAACTAAGAAGGAAAAACTGGTACAAGAATACATAATTAACTGCATTATATAAGAGACAGAAAATCTAAAAAAAAAAGAATTAACTGCATTATAAAATCATTCAATAAGTTAAAAAAGTGTTAATGAATCAGAATATTATTTAGTATCATAGTGAAGGAAGTATTCCAAATACTGTGTAGGATATAAAGAACTGTTTTATGTGGTTCCTGCCCTCCAAATGCCTGGAATGTACCTATTTCTTTTCATCCACTTAACATCCATTCTCTTGGGGATACCATTGCTCCCTATTCTATGATAATATTGTCAATTTCATATGATTTTTATGGTATTAACTCTCCAAACTCACACTTCATTGGCTGTAGTTATTAGTTGAGGATTGGCACATGACCCAGGCAGAACCAATCAGAATACTCATGTCTTCAATAAAGCATAGTTGTTGTGGATAGTTTCATTGTCCTAGTCCACATGGTCTCTTAAAGTCAGATGATTCTGCAGTTTATAGGCAGTTTTTGAATTGGAACTCTTGAGCCAGACTGCAAGTCCTGATAATGAGGTCTCAGCAAGCCCAGCAAGGAGCATACATTGAGTCATTCCTCTCTGATTTACTACCACCTTCCCAGAGTCTTATGAGAAGCAAGGATTAAGTCTCTGCTACTCATGAAACTGTCAGGCTTCTGTCCTTGTTGGCAGTTTCAGAAATGTCAATCATTAACTTTTCCTCTATGGGTTCCAAACCAGTTGAGACATAGACAAAGAAAAATTTGGGGATAAAAATTACGGATAGATCTTGATTGGAAATGCAAATTTGATCTCCGACTCACTTCAATATATTTTTTATGTATGGTGTAAGGATGGGTCAAAAGTTTTCTTTGAAAAAAAAAAAGTTTTATTTTTCCCTTTATGTTTATATAATACTTTTTACAGCATCATTTGTTGAAAAGACTTCTTTTCCTATCAAATAGCTTTATTACCCTTGTCAAAAGTCAATTGATGGGCACACATGGACACAAAAAGATGTAAAGCTCATTGGAAGTCAAGAAGGGGAGAGCAGGAGGAGGAGAGGGGTAAAAACCTACCTATCAAGTACAATGAGCACTATTCGGGTGATGGATACACAAAAAGCCCTGACTTAAGCGTTATAAAATGTATCTATGTAAGAAAAACATTTGTACCCTCTTAATATTTTGAAATAATAATTTTTTAAAAAGTCAGTTGACCCTGTAAGGTCAATTGTCTATGTCTGGGTCTCTGTGAGTCTATGTCTGGACTCTCTTTTATCATTCAATTTATGTATTATTAATGCCAATACCACACACTCTTGATTATTCCAGTTATTAAGTTTTAAAATCAGGCACTGTGAGTCTTCTAGCTCTGTTCTACTTGTTAAGAATGATTTTGGCTATTCTAAGTAAGTCCTTTGCAATTCTAGATAAATTTTAACATTAGATTATTAATTTCTACTAAAAGGATGCTGACATTTTGATTGTTATTCTATTGAATTTATTGATCAAGTTGGAGAAAATTGACATTTTAACAATATTTAGTCTTCTAATTCATGAACATGATATATCTCTTCATTTACTTGGATCTTCTTTATCTGCTCAGTGTTTTATAGATTTCAGATTAGAGGTCTTATACATCTTTTTAAAAATTTATTTTAAAGTATTTTATGTTTTCGATGCAATTGTAATTGGTGCTACAAACTTTGGAATTAACAAATATCTTTACCTTCTTACTGAAAAAATACAAGTAACTTTACCTGCCAATATTCCCTTCCTGGTTTATAGCTTACTCTTCTTTATTATTTTGGTGCTTTCCAGTTGTTTCATTATCCTTCAAATTGAACATTTTTTTTAGTCAGTATTTATTTTGATTTATCCACAGGCCTTCCATTTCTTCATTCAATAATGCTTCTTATATCTAAGAGATTCTTTCTCATATTACTTTCTCTTCCTGAAGTATATCTTTTAAAGGTTCTTTTAGGGAAGATTTCTTACAAATAAAATTTCTCCTATTTGGACCTGTGAAAATATCTTTATTTTATCCTCACTCTGGAAAAATAGTTTCTCTGGGAATACAATTCTAGGTTGGTTGCTGTTTTCTCCCAGTGTTTTTAAATAATTTATTTATTGTCTTCTGGCTTCTGCTTCTGTGGAGAAGTCTACTGTTGTTCTAACAATTTTTCTTTTTTAGGTAATCTGTATTTTCTCTGTGGCTGTTTTAAGATCTTGTCCTTTATCTTCGGTGTTTTACTATTGTAAATTTCTTTTTATTTGTCTTACTTGTGATTTCTTGTAGTTCCTGAATCTGAAGATTGGTGGCTTTCCTCAATTCTGGAAAATTCAGTCATTACCTTTTTAAATACTAGTTATCCCTCATTCTCTCTCTTTTTTCTTTGAAGATTTTTATAATAGGAATGTATGTCACCTTTTCATTCTGTCCTTCTTGAGTCTTAAAATCTTTTCATATTTCTCCATCTTTTTGGCTCATTATGATTCATTCTAGACATTTTTAAATCTTTCTCTCAGTTTACTAATTTTCTCATCATATGTGGCTAAAATTTTTTAATCCCTAAAATCTTAGTACCTAGAGTAACTACCATACTATCCAGTTCTGCCATTTCTGTGTCACTGTATCCAAAATTGGCTACATTGTGGGATCCAGTGCAAAATAAAGTGCGAAGCTCAAAAAGCGGGAGAAAATACTATTAAGGTATTAAATATAAAGCTTTTTCTTTCTCGCATAGTCACTTTCATTACCTGCTATGGTGTTTTTTATTTGCAATTGAATGTCATACTCCCTTGGGCACAGGAATACTCGTGGGCCAAGTGCTGACCCTCATAGTCACCTGGTGATTCAGCATGTGCACAACCCACCAGCTGACAGGTTTCCCCTCTCAATCGACCTATACATCATGCCCCAGCCAGTGGTGGGGTCTGAAGTGTTAAGCCATGTATCTTCCCTTCACGAGCCTACCCTCTCAACTCATAGCAGAGGAGCAACCCCCAAGGGTATTGCAGGCTCTGCACTAGAACATGCTAGACGCCTGGATTGGGGATGGGTAAGAGGCTTACTCCTGCCAAGATGAGTCCTCTGTCAGTTACACCGTGGTGCTGCCAATCAGAAATGGGACAGCTACTGCTGACAATTCCCACACCTAAGCCTAGGCCCTTGCCCAAGTCAAAGGCAGAAACAAAGGCTGATCAGGACCCACAGGGCCAGAACATGGAGGAATGGGTGGTAAAGAATTGTCCCAAGGAGGCAGAAAGGAAGCAGGAGGCAGGACTGTGCATGAGCCAAGGCTTCACATCCCCAGCACATGCTCCATAGTCCATTACACTTCACTTATAAGACAAGTCTGTTGAAAGAGAAATTAAGAATTTTAAGACAAATATGCTTTCTGAGCACTGCCTCTTTCCCTGGGCTCTTTAAACCTATTGACTCTGTTTATCCCCAAACCAGTATTCTGATGCTAGGGAGGAGAATTCATGAAACAAGTATCATGTTAGCATCTAAACTCCCTTGGTTTCTTCTTTCTTTCCCGAGGGTTAGAATACAGAATAGGAAGAAAGAAGAATCCATAGGGTCATGCTCAAACTGCCATCTTTCTCAAGGTGATGTGACACTTTTCTACTTTATCATTCTATCCCACTACCGTCTATTAATATCTGAAGTCACTGAAGTTAATTGCTAAATTTAATGGAATTTTTTTTGGACCTCTTACTACTTCTGTACCACATTTAATAGTGAGTATCACTCATTTCTTCTTGAAACTCTTTCCTTCCTTCACTAGTCATCTAATTCCACTCTCGACTCACTTCTTTTCTTTCCTGGGCCTCTGACAAGTAGCATAACACAAGGCAGGACGTATCAGCCCTAGAGCCAGGGGTCTTTTTGATAGACCTTGGACTTTATTGAACTCTGGGCACAGTTTACCTATGAAGATTTATAGTACTTATGTTTGTTTAGGAGCTTTCTAACATATCAGATTGAACATACATTATGTTCATTATATGGTTTCGGAAAATCACTGCATGCTCATTTACTGATTCAAAAAATATTTTCATTTTCTTTTGTGTATAGTATTGTACTAGGCACTGTGCAGCAATCAGCAAATGGAAGAACATAGTCCTGAGGTATTGACTCTTAGAGATTATATATGATAAAAAATACAAGTAACTTTAAAGTGAAAAAACCACTTTCTAAAAAACATACAACCAAACATACAAATGAATGTTGTTTCTTTCAGGGATGGTGAATGAAAGATTTGTAGTACTAAAAGATGAATTTGAATTTGACATAAATTAAAACATGTAGGTTTTTTAATGTGGAATGATGATATAATTCAGCTTTGATTATGCGAACTTGCTGCATTGTTAAAGAAGCATGCACATTCAAGCCACTCAGCCTTCTGTGATGAAAAATGAGAATCAATAAATATATTGATAAATAAATAGACATATATAGGGTTTTTTACATTTAGTCTTTAATTGTTTATGTATCTGTAATGGAATATAAAGAGAATATTCAAAAGTTTAGAAACATGTATATTGAAAGTAGAATATTCAACTAATATTGAACATACTGTTTACTGAAGTATGTTTCCTCTTTTTCCCAACAGATCTTTCTTTGAAAATTTAACCCACGTAAAGTATTTTTAAAATTTTGTATATCCTTGATATATTGCTACTATATTTTTCCCCTTATCTTCCATATTTACCAGATAAGGAATTTTTCAAACTAATTTTACAATAAAATTTGCTTAGAATAGTGGTACTCAAGGTATATTTTGAGGACCCCTAGGGCTCCATAAGACCTATTCAGGGGGTCCATGATGTTCACCCTTTTCCAAGCACATATCTGTGTGTGGATGTATTATTCCCCATAGGCTTCCACCAAAACATCATACATACACTACTGCCAGCTTGAATGCAGGAGCAGAGATGATTATTCATCTATCTTTTATTATTACAGACATTAAGGTATTTTAAAAAGGATTAAATAGCCATTCGTATTAATTTTTTTTGTTTTGGAAAATACAGTTATTTTTCATAAAAATATGTTAAAGTATAATATGTTTATCATAGCTTTGAAAATAAATATTTTAAAATGTTCTCAGTTTTAATTTGTTATACGGTAAATATCAATAGACCTAACCAACATAAAACAAAAAAAGCCTTGTAAGATTCCCAGTAATTTTTTTTTTTTTTTGAGACAGGGTTTTGCTCTGTTTCCTAGGCTAGAGTGCAGTAATGTCTGTTTTTTTTTTTAAAACAAAGTGAAATTAAAATACTAGACAACAAAAGAATGAAAATGGAGGGGATTTGAGTTTGAAACTATCTCAGTGCTTGTAAATATTCAGGATAAGGATACTGATTAACTTTAGGCTATATTAAATATGTATGAAAAAATTTAAGGTTGTGCATTAAAGTAATATAAACAAATGTATAATTCCTAAAAAGTAGTATTCTAGAAGAAGAATTAAGAAAATGCCACCAATCTAATAGGAGGCAATAAAAAAGAAAAATGAAATGAAGGGAAATAAAAACATAGGAAATAGGAACACAAAAATTAAGAAATCATTTAAATTAAATCATTAATTAAAATCAAGGTGATTGGATTAAATGTGCCTATTAAATGACAGGAACTCCAGAAATCTTATTTTTATAAAAGTTACATACTGTAGTTAAAGAGTAACACAAAATTTGGAAAGAAAAGCATACAGGGGTAGGTATGGTGGCTCACGCCTGTAATCCCAGCACTGTGGGAGGCTGAGGCAGGAGGATCACTTCAAGCCAGGAATTGAAGACCAGCCTGAGCAACATAGTGAGACCCTATCTCTACAAAAAATAAAAAAAATTAGCCGGGTGTGGTGGGACATGCGTGTAGTCCCATCTACATGGGACTATGCCAGGAGGATTGCTTGAGCCCAGGAGTTAGAGGTTGCAGCAAGCTTTGATCATGCCACTGTGTTCTAGCCTAGGCAGCAGAATGAGATTCTATCTCAAAAAAAGAAAAATGAAAAGGATGCAAACTATCAAAGGAAAACTGGAGTGACAATATGAATATCAAATAAAAAATATGTGAAGATTAAAGACATTAATAAATATAAAGAGGGGAATAATTTTATAATAAAGAAAAAGTCTACAAAGAAGATAAATTATGATATTGTATGCACATAACAGTATCCCTCCCCTATCATAAAGAAAGATGGATAGTTACATCAATTCATTTTCTGAATCCAACACAACTTTAATACCAAAAGTAGGCAAAGAAAAAGGAAGAAAGGGAAGGAAGGAGGGAGAAAGGAAGGAAGGAAGGGAGGGATGAAAAAATTGTAGACCAATACACTTGTATATATAGGCACAAAAACTACGTAAAATATTAGCAAATGGAATCCATCAATGTAGCAAAAGAAAAAATTCAAAAGGACCTGTCTGCCAAAAATGCAACATTAGTTCAATATCAGGAAAACTGACAAAAATATCCATTATATCAACAAAATAAAAAAATTATATCAATAAATTAAAATTTCCAAAACTATTCCTAATGAATAGACTAAGTCAAGTAATTGTAGAAGGAACTACTTAATTCTAATAAAAACATTTATTTCCCAAATAGCTAACAATAATTATTATAAATTAAGAAATATTTCTAATTTAATTAAAATCAGGAAGTGGACATATATGCTTGCTATCACCATCGTTATTTAATATCTTGAACTTAGTTGTATTAGTAATAAAACAAGAAGAAATTTATAATATTATTAACTTTATAGTAACAATAAATGAAAAGAAGAAAAACATAGAACCTGTATCAAGAACCACTCTCACATCTTATTGATGACATAAATAGATCTAGTTTATAAGACTTAATTGCACAATATCAATTCTCCCCAAATTAATTTAAAAATTTAATGCAATTCTTATTGGACTCCAAATGGAGTCCAGTTTTAATTGTAAAAATATCTCAATTGGGGGGGCAAGGGCAACATATGTAACCTAAACATCTGTACCCTCATAATATGCTGAAATAAAAAAAAAAACTCAACATTTATATGGAGTAATATAGCATAAAAGCTATCCTCCTAGGAGAAAATAAAAGTGGAATCCTCTCTTATACCATATACAAAAAATAAATTCCAATTGCATACAAGACTTAACAGTAAAAAGAAAAAATTTTTCAGGAGAATATCGAAGCTGGGAGAACCTTATATAAACAGAATCAAGGGAAATCCCAGGATCTATAAATAAAATGTAGTCATAATTGATACTATAAAAATTAAAAATTTTCATATTGCAAATATACCATAAACAGTCAGTTTTGACAACAAGGCTATAAAAAAATTTCACAACATAGATGACACTACACAGCTATTTTGAAAGAGCTGGTGAGGATGTAAATTGGTGTAACCATTTATGGAAGTGATTCCACATTATCTTGTAAATTTACACATACTCTACTATTTAGGAATTACACTACTAAGCACAAACTCAAGAGAAACTCTTGCACTCATGCATCAAGAGCCATTTTCAAAAATGTCCATAGTAGAACTGCTCATAAAATCCACCCCTCCCAAATAGAAAGGACCCAGTGCCCATTAACAGGACAGTGAAAAATTCATAGGATGAATTTTAAATAGCAATGAAAAAGAATGAACTTAGTTTTAGTCAATAACATAAATGAATCCTAGTTTTATAAATGTTGAAAGAAAAAAACAATTCCTAAGGGGAAATATATGAGATGATCAAGTTCAAAAATAATCAAAATTAAATTACCTAGGTAAATGAAAGATATTCATAAGGTTTCATTTCTTGCATTGGGTAGTGAGTTCCTGGTTTTCATTTTAGTGTAAAATTTAAATAATTACATAAAAGAGGGTCATTCCCAACAATAACAATGTGTCATGAACCAAGAATTGTGATTATTCTGATTCTGTATCTGTGTACCTGAAGTCCAACAAAACAAAGAGTTCTTACAAACATATTAGAAAGTGTAAAGGAAGGGAGGGAGGGAGAGAAGGAGGGAGGAAGCTAGTGTGGCAATATAGAAGGACAATATATAGTCTGAGGCAGACGGTTTTAATAGGATGAAGAAGGCTGCCATATAATAATATAAAGAATAAAAATGCCAAAAGATACAAGAATGAGTTTGTATTTACTAAAAATAAACAATGCAGAAACTGGAAGAATTACAAAGGAAAACTGAGATAATATGATCCTAAAACAAGGATTTTTTAAATATGCAAAGTAAATAAGTATAAAGTTTGGTGAATTCTCTCTTTTTCACACACACACACACACATTAACATAACCACCACCCACAGATCAAGAAGCAGAACATTTCTATCACTCTAGAAAGTTCCTAGTCTAACAGCACCCTGTTTCAGAGATAAAAGATTAGTTTTGCCTGTTCTTTAACTTCCTAGAAATGAAATCTTGGAACAGTTTTTCAAAAGGTTCACAGCATTTTACACCCCCACTAACAATGTATGAGAATTCTCTAGTTGTGCCAACCAGATATGATAAGTGTTCTCAGTACAAGGTTTTTTTAAGGCTTACTTTTCTAGCAAGGATGTGTTGAATTAAGCGGAACAAAAATTGATGAAGTTATAGTAGATTTGCACAACGCAATTGTAGTAGCTACTGGGACCAAAGGGGAAGTTCCCCAAAATTCCAAACATTAATATCACACAAGTCATATTTTCTGACCTAATAAAATTAAATTATACATAAATGAAATAACCCAAAGTACAACCATATTTCTGAAAGTAGAGCCAGACCTCTAGGATTAGAGACAAAAATCACATTCAAAATTATAAAAGATTTAGAACTCAACAGTAACACAATTAATATCAAAGTTTGTGAGGGTTTAATATCATACTTTTTTTCGAGGAAAAGGAAAGAAAAGTTTATTAATTTTCTGGCAAATGAGGAGGATGGCATACTCTTGTCTTAAAAAATTATCGTCCCTGTTAATATCATACGTAAGAGAATTATACTTAGTATATTATAACTTTAATATGCTTACTGTTAAAAATAATAAAAATTGAAAATAAATAAGTAGAAAATGAAAGAGATAATCCAAAGAAACCAGGATAAAGAAAAGCAAAATGTTAAAAATATAAAATTTTTCAGAAAGAGGTGATTATCCCTCCAAAGTGTATCCTTGAAAAGACTAAGAAAATGGAAAAAATTTTTTAATAGTAACTCATAAATGAATATTAATAATAAAAAGAGGACATAACTATAGATGACAGATAACTTTAAACTCATAAGAAAATATAAACATTTCACCCATAATTTTTAAAACCAACAAAATCTCAGAGAATTTGTTGCCAGCATAGCTCCACTGCAACAAATCTTAAAGGAAGTTGCTCAGGCAGAAGAAATATACTGGACATATGTAGATCTTCTACGAAAAATTCCTCTGGAAAGGTAAAAATGGAAGTAAATATAAAAGACGCTTTTCTTAGTTGCTATAAAACTTAATTGACAGTCAAAAGCCAAAATAGTAACAATGTACTTTGGGGATTATAACATTAGTAAAATATACAATAATGGCAAAATGGATGGGAGGGAACATACTGCTGCAAGCTTCTTGCAATACGTGTAAAATGGCATACATGGCGATATTCCTAATATAAATAGTGATATAACTAATAAGCCACTAGTAAGAATGAAATGGAATTATAAAAATCACTTAATCCTAAAGCAGTCAGAAAAGATTTGAAAAAATAGAAATGAGGAACAGATGTAACAACTAGAAAGCAACTAGCTATACATTCAACCAATACTGACTGTCTAATAACCCCTGTCAGCTCTTAGCCTAGTTGCTGGGCACACAGCAGCAATTGAACAAGACAAAGTCCCTACTTTCATTACTAAAACTATTACAGCCCATTGAAGACATTATAGAAAGCTCCTCTTTCAACTTATAAATCCAGCATAACTTTAAAACCAAAAACCCAATATGGTTTCAAAAAATGTTGACATCCCTTATTTTTGAAATATATGTAAAAATTTTGAATGAAATAATAAGTATCCAGAAGACATCAACACAATGATACACCATGATTAAATAGTATTCCAGGGATAACTCAATTGTTGTATATCAAGAAATCTGTAATTATCACCTATTATGTCATCAAAATAAAGGATATAAAACATATCACCACAATATTTAGGAGATCATGACTAAGATTTTCCAAAAATGAAGAACTCCACATGGTTAAGAACCACAACAAAAAATAAATAAAAAGAAGTCTACAGCTAGACTTATATAATAAAGCTGCAGAGAAACAAAGACAAAAAGAAGCTTTTAAAAAGACAAATTATTAGCAAAGGACAACTTAATAGCTGTTTTAAAAAGCAGATAAAAATCAGTAGGAACTATAAAATATTCAAATACAATTAACAAACTTGACCTAATGGATATACGATTGACCCTTAAACATAAACAGATTTGAACTGCACTGGTCCACTTATATAGGGATTTTTTTTTTTTCAAACAAACTATATGAAAAATACAGTATTCCCAGGATGTGAGACCTGTGTATACAGAGGGCCGACTTTTCATGTGTATATTATATGTGGGTTCCACAGGGCCGACTCGAGGACTTGAGTATGTGTGGATTTTGTTATACATGTGGATCCTGGAACCAATCCCTCATATATGCCAAAGTATGACTGTATGTAGAATACTGCACTTAGTATCTCAGAATATATATTTTTTCCAACACACAGCTTTCACAAAATTTCAACATATAAAGCAAATCTCAGTAAAAGTCAAAGACTGAAATCATGGAGAATATGTTCTTTGACTGCCATGCAATTAAGCTTGAAATTGGTAACAAAATTACCTAGAAAACCCCCGTGTTAGGGAATTTAAAAATTTCTGTATCCAAAGGTCAAAAAAGAAGCCAAAATGAAAATTAGAATATATTTTCAACTAAATAATTAAGACCGCCAAGCTGATATAGAACAATATAAAAAACATTCATTATAACTTTAATAAGAAATCACATAATTTTTTTAAAACCTTTAAAGACTCAAAGAGCTGTGGATAAAATGAAATCTAAAGGTGGTATATTCCAGAAGAATAGGACCTTGCTAGGTGAGCAAAAACTAGAGAATGCTTTCATACCTAGGACCAGTTGCTAAAGTTGGAGGTGGAGCAGATGAACAAACTTGCTAGGGATGCATAGACTTTGCTGAGATGAGGTGAAACCATTTGAACTTTTGACAACATGTGAGCTAGTGTATCTGATTTGAATCTGAAAGAATCCCAAAACAAAGATAATTCTCTTCATTTGTTAATCTCTCACATAGAAGTTTTACTGAATAAAATGCAGAAGACCTATATGACAAAACTTTAGAACTCTCCTGAAGGAAAGGCATATTGTTGTGTTCCTTAATAAATGTACTCTACAACATAAAGATATAAATATTCTTTCATTTATAAAGCAGTTCCATCTTAATGAAAAAATACATTTTTCCAGAACTAGACAAGGTGATTCCAGAGTTCCTATGGACAAACAAAAACAAACAAATAGTGTCCAGAAAAACACTTAATAAGAACAAGGATAGGGTACTGGTCATACCAGGTATTAAAGTGCACTCTGAAGCCTCTGTATTTAAACTGGGAGATACTAACTCTTGAAAAGACAGTAAAGATCAATGGAACAGCATAGAAATCCAGAAATAACCAAAATACATTTAAGTCTTTACTAAATAATGAAGTTGGCATCTCAAATCAATGGAGAGAAGATGGACTAGTCAATAAATGATGTTGGGATAACTGGGTAGCCATCTGATTATTAAAAAAAATATATTGGCATCATACCTCACATAGTACACCAGAATAAATTTGAAATGGGTTAACTATGGAAATACAATGAATCCAGTAACATCTGAAGAAAACATGGAAGAATTCTCTTACAACTGGGAAAATTGGAAACCTTCGAAACTATATCACAAAATCCAGAAAATAAACCAAATTACCAAAAGGTCAAAAGGAAATGGAATACAGGTGGAAAAATACAACCTGAATCAGTAAATAAACCAATATCATCTTAATACATAAAAAACTTCTGCAAATGTATTAATAAAAGACTAGCAACCCAATAGAAAAGTGGGCAAAGGAAATACAAGTAGAACTTGAACATATGGGAAGATGCTGAAACTTTCTCAAAAGAGAATTGCAGCCGGTCGCGGTGGCTCACGCCTGTAATCCTAGCGCTCTGGGAGGCCGAGGCGGGCGGATTGTTTGAGCTCAGGAGTTTGAGACCAGCCTGAGCAAGAGCGAGACCCCGTCTCTACTAAAAATGGAAAGAAATTAGCCAAACAACTAAAAATAGAAAAAATTAGCCTGGCACAGTGGCGCATGCCTGTAGTCCCAGCTACTCAGGAGGCTGAGGCAGAAGGATCGCTTGAGCCCAGGAGTTTGAGGTTGCTGTGAGCTAGGCTGACGCCACGGCACTCTAGCCAGGGCAACAGAGTGAGACTCTGTCTCAAAAAAAAAAAGAGAATTGTCTCAAAAAAAAAAAAAAGAGAATTGCAGATTTAAACTACACCAAAGTACCGTTTTTCACCCATCAGACTGGCAATATCCAAATGTATAATATCACATGACGTTGGGAAGGCTATGAGGAAAGAAGAAATCTCATACATTGCTGGTGAGAGGGTACATTGGTGCAACAGCTATGGAGAACAATTTAGCAGTATCTATCAAAATTACAAATGCATTTACCCTATGACTCAACAATTACAGTTTTAGGAGTGTGCTCTCTCAATATGCTCAAAGTTGTACAAAATTGCTCATTGTGGCATTGATTGATTATAATGGCAAAGGACTGGAAACATATATTTACCAGAAGGTTACAGATTAAACAAATTATGGTTCTTCCATAATTTGGAATAATATGCAGCAGAAAAATTAATGAGAATATGTAAAGATCTCTAAGATTTAACTTTAAGTAAAACGTAAGATTCAGAAAAAAATGTGTTCAGCATGCTAGCTAGCATTTGTGTAAAAGGGAGGAAAAATATCTTTATTGGTTATGCACAAAAATTTTATAGAAATATAAACAAGAACTTACTAATAATAGTTACCTGTGGGGTGCAAGTGGAATTGAGTGATGGAGTACAGGGTAGGAGGGACAATTTTTGCTATATTTTTAATATATAATTTGTTTTAAACTATGTGAATAAATGATCTATTCAAGGAAATAAACAAGAAAGAAAACAACCAGTTCTATATCTACTGAAATGGCCATTCATCAAGTGACAAATGTTAAGTTACAAATTACTTGTATAGAAGGATTTTATTTTTGTAAAAAGTATATGAGCTGGGGCCGGGGATGTTGCTGTGTCTATTTATGGGTGTACAGAAAGATACATAAACAGATGAAATTTTAACATTAGTTACTTAAGCAGTGCAGAGGGATGTTATTAACTCTTCATATGTCTTTGAATGGTTTCACTTATGGAAAATTGCTTTGCATTTTTAAAAATGGGATAATAAAAAATTTTAAAATAAATAAAAATATTATTATCATTATGTTTTGCCACAACTAAAAATGAAATTTGTACAAAATATAAAGAAATGTAAACACATTTTATTTTATAGGTTATCATTATATGGGTATTCGATCCAGAACATGCAAATCCTGACGAGTTGCTAGGGAATGCAGAAGAACCTTCACGAGTAGGTGAAAACATGATTATTGTCATAGATAAAATAGTATGCTGCCTTTCTTTTTTAAGGACTGTGAATAATTTATAATCAGTAGATAGGATTTTAAGCTGCCCAGAGCTAACTAACTACATTTTTTGTTTACATTTTGGTTTAGCCATTATAATGATTTTGAACTTGTGCTCAATCACTACAATTATAAACCTTTCTTTAGAATTCTTTTTTTTTTTTTTTTTTTTTGAGACAGAGTCTGGCTCTGTTGCCCTGACTAGAGTGCCGTGGCGTCAGCCTAGCTCACAGCAGCCTCAAACTTCTGGGCTCAAGTGATCCTCCTGCCTCAGCCTCCCAAGTAGCTGGGACTACAGGCATGCGCCACCATGCCCGGCTAATTTTTTCTATATATATATTTTTAGTTGTCCAGCTAATTTCTTTCTATTTTTAGTAGAGGCGGGGGTCTCGCTCTTGCTCAGGCTGGTCTCGAACTCCTGACCTTGAGCGATCCACCCGCCTCAGCCTCCCAGAGTACTAGGATTACAGGCGTGAGCCACCACACCCGGCCTAGAATTCTTATTGAGTATATTTTATATTTTCGGTGAACCTCACTACTAATGAAGGAGGGCTGACCATTCAAGTACATTAAAGATGTTCTTTGAGCATCTATATTGAAGCCTTCCTTCAAAAATCGGTCTAATCCCTGACTGACTCCTTTATCACTTGAGACAAATCAATTTTCTAAAGGTGCAACACAGTGAATAAATAAGTCCTTTCTTTTATTTGTTACACATTTACATCTTTCATGATTTAAATTCTGTTTTCTGTTACAATTAAAATATATTAAAGATAAATCTAAACAGAGTAGTTAGCTATTAGTTTTTCATGGGACTGTTGACATCTTAATGAGTCAAGATCTGTCTGATTTTTAATAGCATGTTATCATGACTCATGGTAATCCAATTCACAAGAGATGGACTGCTAAATCAGAATGACAAGCAATTAATTATTTTATGTGGCAATCAACTTTAGAGGGAATAAAATTAATTCATGATAATTAAATACTTTAAGCATGATTATAACTTAATTTCTAATCTTTTAAAGAGAAAATATACAATTTGAACATTATTTAGTTCATGCATATCTAATACTTTTCTTTTTTCCATCTCCATGTTTATCCATGACCATATAATTTCCTTAAAACCTTTCTATGGCTCCCCATTACAAACAACATAGACTTTTAACTCCTCGGCTCTTACCATGGCATACAAAGCCCTTGATACCTGTCTCTACCAATCTTCTCTGGCCTCAGCTCTCCACATAAATTACCTCCAGCAACTGGACTCTGCCCTCTGCACATACTTTCTGTTCCATGCATCTGTGAATTTGCCTATGCTCTTCCCTCTACATCATTTGTCCATTCCTTGTCTTCATCTGGGTAACTTCTACTCATGTTATAGGTCTCCAGTCAGGTATCACTGCCTCCAAGATGCCTGCCATGACCAAATCAGGATTTTTTCCATGTGAGCAGTTTGAGGCAGTTATTTTGATGCCTCAGTTTTGATGAATCATCAAAAAGTAGCTCTGGCAAAACATAAATTGTCCAGTAATGTGCATAACAGATACCCAACCCCTAGTTCTATCCCTGCCTCTTCATTCTTCATTCTCTTTCTTAACCATCCCTGACTTTGAACACTAAATAATTTCTTATCTTTAACGCATTCCTGTATTTTATTCCGTCTTTGAACCTCAACCCATCCCTGTCTCTCATCTCATTAACTCTCTCTCTGAGCCTCACCCTGTTCCCAACATCCACACCAAGGAAAAGAGGACCAGCAGTGGGATGAGGCTTAGAGATGGGGTACAGCATAACTGCTTTGTACAATTTGGTTAAAAAATATTAAAAGGTTCAGAGCTTTATTTTCTTTTGTTTTTTTCCTTTTATTACCATTTTTAATTGTGAATTATAATATCATTACAGAAAAAAAGTAAAAGCTAAGTATACAGTTTAATGAATAATCATAAGGTAAATAGATATATAACCACTACCAAGAAATAAAACACTGACAATAGTACAGAAGGCCCCATATGTGCTTATATGAACATAATTTCTACTTCCACCCTAGAGGTAACTGTTATTCTGAATTTTGTGGTACTAATTGCTCTACCTTTCTTTTTAGTTTACCACATGCATTCCTAAGCAAATACAGTTTAGTGAGTTTTTGTTTGTTTTACTTTATATAAATAGAATCATGTTTTATATACAGTTTACATTTTGCTTTGTTTTTTTTTTTTTTTTGGTCAACATTATGTTTGTAAGTTTCATCCATGTTGTGTATACCTATATTTTGTTTGTTTTCAATGCTGTATGGCATTCTATTTGTTTCAATATACCATAAATTATCCATTGTCTACCGTTGATGAATATTTAGGCTGTTAAAGTTTACAAATTTTAAAGCTTTGAACATTTTCAAGTCTCCATGTTTATTCATGACCATATCATTTCCTTAAAACCTTCCAATGGATCTCCATTGTAAACAGCATGGACTCTTTTTTTC